TCGTTTCGTTGACTTGTACGCTTTCCCGATTCGTTTCGCGAACGCATGGATAGCTTGTCGGTGGCCGATGAGCGTGCGGGCCACTTGGTTCGCCGATTTGGTGGCTGGTGAGTGTATAGGCTATTTGGTTCGCCGTTTCGCTTCATGTGTTCATCGGCGTCGGATAATCCTCTTAGACTTAGATAGTGGCGTTCATCACCTTCTCTCTGTCTCGAGCTGTGCGTGGATACCTATAGGCATTTTTAGACGCCTACAAGGAGTAACTAGCTTATAGCTTTTAAAATTGTACGTCCTGCGTGTAACTTTTAAACTGCAACTGCTTGTAACTATAAGTTGTCGTGTTAAAGTTAGATGACAAAAGTTAAACTTAACTTGCTTGACTTTTCAGATATGGACAGCAAAGCTGGTGAAGACTATGATAGCGGTCGAGCCGTCGAGATGTAAATAACTTGTTATTTTCGTTAATGAAAGACGTGGCACTAGTCAGGCTTTAGTGAAGGAATTTACCAGTGCTGTTGATGATGAGAGGAAGGCAGTCCTTGCTTGAATTGGAGAGGAGGAGGAGAAACTCTTTAAGGGTTTCTTCAGCAAGGTAATCATTCTGGGTACATTTACTCTGTAGTTGATATTTATGTAGTTACTAGAATTGATTTCATCTTTATTTTACTATAGAAATGACCGATATTAGTTGATGTTGTATCTGCATGTTTAATTTACCTATTGTTGGCACTTGTCAGTCTTAGGATCAGTGTCTTGGTCAAGGATTGAAAGGTGGCCTTTAGAAAATATTCTCGTTAGAGCTCGTCCTAGTATACCAGTTCTTTACTTAAATGTTCTGCATTAAGTTCATTTTCTTTTGAATTGCTTTCTTCCTTTATTTTGTTTCTCAAACGTTTCTTTCGTCCGTTCCTTTCTTCCTTTAGGAATGTTCATTGCATCAATAATGAAGTTACCCAAGCTGTTTGACATAGCGATTTGCGGCAAATTCTTACCAAAGAAAGGGAGGGGGGTGGAGGTGT